GGAACCTTGTTAAGATAACGACACAAGCAACACCAATAAAATTAATTATTTATTTCTGTCTTACCTGAAAAACATTTCGAAAGTTTTAACCTCTCCCACAGAGGTCAAAGAGCGACAACCCTCCGGACATCGAGGACACCGATGTAGTCGTTACTTCCCTCGTGTCGTCACAGTCACCTGTATGGGCGCGGCAAGAATCTTTTAAAATACCCTCAAACTTAATATATCGAGTATTCTGGTATGTGTGTACTGTGTCAAACATTTTAGAGTATTGTGTAAGTGGCAATTTAATTTATGTCAAGTACCTCAACCTACCGTCAAAGGAGCGTGAATTAAGTCTCGTGTTGCTATCCTGGTTCCGTGATAGTCCATGCTTTGTTTGTTTGACGGCGCTCTGTAAACAACATCATGAGCATCGATCTACAGAACTGGGATACGATGACATGCATTCTAGCTGTGGATGAGTGAGTGTGTGTGTGTGTGTGTGTGTGTGTGTGTGTGTGTGTGTGTGGTTGAGGGGGGGGGGGGGGGGGTCGTGAATAGGGGAGGGGTAGACTTGGGTTCAACGACGCTTTGTACATAACACATTATGTCACGGCGTGTTAACTTCCTGCACAGGAACCCTAGAGGACCCTATCACCACGTTGGTGAAACACTCGGGGATATGTTACTGTTAGCCACAAAATCCAGAGACTCAACGAAACAGGCCAACATTGATGTAGTTTTCAAGAAACGTAACAGCATTCAGACAACCACCATCCAGCCAACAGCAAGAACCATCAGGAGTGTACCACATTCCGTGAAAATTGTGGACAAGCTTCCTTTGGTGAAACATCAAGGACCCTCAAAACCCGACACGGATAAAGAACATCAGAGCTCAGTTTCCAAAGTTGTCTCTAAGTCAGTTCTATCAGACCATATCAGTGACACCCCCTACCTCGATCACCTTAGCGTTAAGATCGCTTTGTACAACGGCACCCAGCTCTTTGACAGCGGACTGTTACGTGCCACGCTAACATTTCCACAATTACATTTTGGAGGATAGTCGGGGATGAACCTCATAACTTAAGAAACTAAGGTTTATATATAAAGTGAACTTTTAAACTGTTCTCAAGCTAACTTCAAGCCTACAAGCCTAAAGCAACCATCACGTGGAGGATCGCGAAGAGAATGCTGGGAAATTCCATCATAAATCATCTGGACCCGGAGACATCCTGTTAAAATGAAACGTCACCCTAGCTATTACCAAACCACCATCAACAAATGTGCCGCTTGTACTGACGGTTTGACCTCACAGTCTTGACATAAGAGAGTCATTATGTTGATGGAGATTTTTGGATAGCATTAGTCTGACAAACTACGCTGATGGCCTTGGGTTTGAGGACACACAAGGAACCTGCAGAGCGGTAATTATAACATCATTCTATGACTTTGATCTTTAATAACCAACAATCACGAATCACTGCGGAAACATTATACGCGAGGTAATTAACTCGCCTGACTGTTGGCATGAAGACATTCGCGGGTATTTGCAGTCGTATGGCTTCTGAACAAACACTTTCAATGGCACAGTAAGGACACCCCGTTTAAATGTGGCCGCTGGGGTGATGTTCCTTTGAATGAGATTATTCTTCGAGTGAGTGAGTGAGTTGGGTTTAACGCTGCTTTCAACAGTATTCCAGTTATATCGCGGCGTGTCGGCTTAATGTGGAAGGAAAGCCCGAAGTGATGCGAGTCTCAGACGTTTACCACTTCGGTGAAACCCACGAGCACGGGTATGGTGCTTACAAACCTAGAAACATAATCGGGGCGAACCGGGATTCGAACCCACAATCATAGGTTTCTGGCGTGCCCAAGGGACGCAACTCTACACAGCGAATTGCGGCGCCTCAGACGACTGGGCCACCCGTGCCCCCATTATTCTTCGAAAACTTGCATCTTTCATAAAACAGTAAAGAGTCAATTTTTAGATACCGTTGGAATAGTGTATTTCTTATGTTGATCTGGCAATGAATCGGGGACAACAGGGTAGCCTACTGGTTAAAGCGTTCGCTGGTCACGTCAAAGGTCCTGGTTCGATCCAATGGGTATATATACATGTACCTGAAGCCCCCGTCGTGGTATTGCTGAAAATGGCGTAAAACTACATGTATACTCACTCGCTACAATAAAACTTTTGGTGAAAAGGAAATAATCGATTTTTATTTTATTTTACAAACTGTTATCTTAAAGTATAAAATTGAATGGATCTACCGTTTTACTATATTTTGTCAATGTAGAATCTCTCGCCAGAATACATCAACAGTGAGTCGGGAAATATAAAAGTCATATTTGTCCGGAATAATTCAAGATTGCTTTTCTGATTTGGGGAACAAATACAATAAAATAATGTTGACAATAAAATAATCTTATTGTAAACTAAAACATGATAGGAGTGATGGAATCGGGTTCACGTGAATTACTATAATTCATGCATAAAGAGGACACGCCCACCTTTGCCTAATGAGTTAGTTTTCTTGAACTGTTGCAGATCCGCAAGCGTTGTGCCTTTTGCGGAAACGTGTATAAAGTACGTATGAAGACCTAAAGGGGACATCGCTTTATCGGCTTCAGTTACGGCCGCGAGAAAGTCTTGTTTTATCGCTTTCTCGTCTTGTGGTATCGTTTTCTGATCTCGTGATATCGTTTTCTGATCTCGTGATATCGTTTTCTGATCTCGTGCTATCGCTTTCCCGTATCGTCGTAAAGATTTCTCGCGACCGCAGTAGAATACGATAAAGCGATGTCCCCTCACGGCCACCATAGTTGCCTGATACTGATGATGGTAAGAGCCCATTCACTTCTCATTCTACTGATTTTTAAGGCCTCTTTTGAGAAGGTCGATAACAAAAAGTAATGGGAAGTCTTATATGAATATACAACAGAGAAACTGATGCTACGAGCGCAGTGCTCCGACACGCCTCTTCCAAATATAATTGAGATTTTACAGTCGCTTCGGATGCCTGACTGTCGCCAGGCGCCGCGTTACATCTTCTGTGTGAGTGAGTGAGTGGGTTGGGTTAATAATCGCGGCGAATCGGGATTCGCACCCACAATCATAGGTTTCTGGCGTGCCCAAGGGACGCAACTCGAGGCGCCTTAAACGACAGGGCCCCCCGTGCCCACCGTCTACCAATGGTGTAGTGTGAATTTGGGTTTTAAGGCGAAGAGGACCATTAAAGGTCTATTTGTGCCCAATAATCAATATCTTCAAACAAAAGCAAAGTGAGTAATGGAAAGGAGATGATTCAAGGGCGGGTCCATCATTTTTGAATGGGTGGGGTACAAAATATTAACATCAATCTGTGTATTTATTACATTTTCATAATATTTCAAATTTTCCAGATGCAGTCAAGGAGTCTAATATTGGGACTGATTTGAACAATAAAATATGTTTGGACTCAAAAAAGCAATCAGAGAAAATGTATGTTGGTTGGTTGTTAACGCCGCACTCAGCAATATTCCAGCTATATGACGGCAGTCTGTAAATAATCGAGTCTGGAACAGACAATCCAGTGATTGATATCATGAGCATCGATCCACGCAATTGGGATCGATGACATGCATCAATCAAGTCAGCGAGTCTGACCACCCGATCCCGTTAGTCACCTTTTACGACAAGCATAGTCGCCTTTTACGACAAGCATGGGTTGCTGAAGACCTATTCTACCCCGGATCTTCACGGATCTTTTTTATCAGTGATACTGCGGTAAGCATTTAATCCCAGTCCAAGTCCAAGTCTATTTTATTACTTCCTATTGTATCCAATCACCAATTTGTTTTTACAAAAGGACAAACTATGTTCATGTGTCGGCAACCCATCCCAACATCAGATGATCATTATATTAATCACTGGATTGTCTGGTCCAGGCTCGATTGTTTACAGACCGCCGTCATACAGCTGGAATATTGCTGAGTTCGGCGTAAAACAACCAACCAACCAACCAACCCAACATCCCACAACTACAGCCAGCTTGAGCAGCATGTTATCCACATTGAAGTGGTCACCCATCCACAAGTGGTCACCCATACATATCTAGAACATGTTGTATATAAATTAAGAGGCCTTTCACATTTACGCTACATGTCTTTTATGTCAATAAATAATGTGTCGTATTTAAGTTTTAGGTCTTAATTGTAAATGACAGAGGCCGTGCAATTATATAGCTCTGTATATCGTATATACCCTGTCGTTTCTGAGCGCCACTGCATCTACACCCAAAGGGGAGTACCATCGAGAGCAGTGTTTCTGTTATGTGTGGGTTTTCTTTTGTTAAAATCGAAACCTGTGACTCGAGATGGCAAAGAAACGAATCCGATTCGTTGCCGAAAGTTCACATCTGATGGTTCAAGAACAAACGAATCCTTCCTTGGATTGTGCAGGCAGTTCATACAGGGTTCACCTGACGCTACTATTGAGGTGTCGTTAGATGTTGAGAGGTATCGTATCGGAGTGAACGATCTGAATTTAGACTGGCCGTGGCCCTACATATATGATATTTTACATCTTCACATAAGATTTTGTACTTACTGGTATATACATACTTTTTACAGTTCTAACGTAGGTGGCCTGCGAGCCGACCAGTCATAGTATTGTCCCCTTCAGGTTGGCGCCGGCCGCGTCATACCAAAAGACGATAAAGATGGCATTTGTTGTTACCCTGTCTGGCGCTCGACATTAAGGGGCTAAAACATGGACTCGTCAGCTCGGAGTCAGTATACTGTGTCTGAGTGGGGTATTCATGTTAAACTGCGGCATGGTATCTCAATGATCTAGCACTATAAATCGGCATCGGTCCGGACTAGTACAAGCAGCCACACACACACGTGCATTCACGTCGCTATGTAAGTGCAATAATCTTGGACGCGACGTTAAACCCAATTTCACCTCACCTTTGTTTTGTAAAGTTCTGCATTTGACATGTTTTTTTACAAACCGGAAACCGTCATTAAAGGCAGATTTGGAACTGTGTCCATTTTATTATTCCCCCTTTACCAGTGAGTAAGTAATACAGTGATATCAAATATATTGACATGTCATGCATAATACATTTGTAAGTTAACAACGTTAGCATCAGCTCCTTAGACTTCATGACTCTGAACAGAGCGACTCGTCATTAAACCGTTTCCAGATCTCCTGGCCCAGCGCGGGGTGAACTTTCTGTGCGACGATCTTTGTGCCGTTGATATATTCACACACTTTGGGAGGGTAACGTATACTGTACTGTTTCCTTGTCAAGCCACGAAATCTAACCCCGCCGATGGAGTAAGCAACAACCCCGGTAAGATGGGCGTCCTCCATGTTGTCGTAAGGCAGATGCTGTGCCGTCTTCAAAATCCTGAACGCCAGATCTGCGGGCATGAGGTAAAAGTTCCCCTTACAGTGCGGGGGGTACTGGGGAGCGGGGTATGAGGCTTCACTCACAGCGTATTTGCCTGTTCGTTGTACTTTGCTGAAAGTGAAGAATGGCCCCATTATTGTGTTGGTCATATTCACTAATGTCAATATGTCCAGAAACACGGGGACATCGGGGAAAGTATCCTCGTCAACTTTAGCAACAAATTCCACTTCACTGCAGAAATGATACACCCAACGTATCCCCATCAACACCTTGTATGTCAGATTGTAGTAACTCTCCGGAACAGACACGTGGACTATGTCTCCGTATACATCGGATTCGTGTAGCAGTGCGTCGTCATTCTTGCTCATCCCAATCACAAATATGACTCGAACGGGCTTCCGTAACGGTTTACCTGCCCACGTGTTTGTTCTGTTAACGCTGCCCCATGTTTCACGCACAGCTTTCCTCAACTTCCAATTTTTCGTCATTGAGAGAACGAGAACAATCAGAAATGGCTGATCGCTGTTACAGGGTCCTTTTGTGGCCGACATGAATTCGAAATCAAGGGGCGTAACTCTCTCCCAACGAGGAACAAAAAACTTACCAAAAGGGACAATGCTGTAGTGATTCGTGGCTGGAACTAGATCAGGGACGGTACCGCTTGGCCCTTCTGAGAATGCTCGACCGTTCCGTTCAATTACTGGAGAATTGACAATCGGAACGATTTTGTGCTCATAGACAGTGCGCCGTTGGTTCAGGAAGAGCCGGTTGATGACCACAATGGTTCCAAATAGGCTCAACGCAAAGAGATGCAGCACACGTCTCCTCAACAGACAGGGGTCACAGCGTGGATTGGTCTGTAATATGGAATGGGAAATTAGTAAATGAAATGGCAAATCCAGTACAATAACCATTTCTTTATGCCACTAAGACACGAAATAATAGCTGGTGGTTATGTAAGATTATATTGATAATTCTACTCCTACCATGTAAAATCACTACCATAAGAAACGGACCCGCGGCCGTGAAGATCCGGGTAGAATAGGTCTTCAGCAACCTATGCCTGTCGTAAGAGCGACTAACGGGTGGTCAGGCTCGCCGACTTGATTGATGCATGTTATCGTGTCCCAATTGCGTGGATCGATGCTCATGATGTCAATCACTGGATTGCCTGGTCAGATCGGAATATTGCTGATTGTGGCGTTAAACAACAAACAAACAAACAAACAAACCAAAAAGAAACGCAAATACCATACACGTTGGTAGATATATGAAGAATAACTCATATTCAAGAGATTTGTTGTGTGAACAGACGGTCATGAATGCAGCACATCTGACGTCATAGAATCAGGACTCGAGATGCACCATTTGTTTCGTGCTGAATTAGAGTGCAAAGATTGGAAATCACGTGCAGCATAGTGTGATAAGAATAAGGACACTCTGTGTTAACAATTAAGTGCTTGTAGTTGTGTAAGTAATTGATGCATATTTGAAACATCTCTTCTTAACTTACGTACTTCTCTATATGTTTCTATGGAACGCGTGTTTTTTGGTGGTGAGTATATCATGCTCTGTTTACTTGAGAGTGTGATGGCATGAATGTGTTTGTCAAGGGCACGTGGCCATGGTAACGAGTGAGTGAGTTGTGTTTAACGCCGCTTTTAACAGTACTCCGGTTATATCACGGCGTGTCAGCTTAATGTGGGAGGAAAGCCCGAAGTGATGCAGGTCTAAGGCGTTTACCACTTCGCTGAAACCCACGAGCACGGGTTTGGTGCTGACAAACCTAGAAACATAATCTGGGCGAACCGGGATTCGACTGCGCCACCAAATCAGCGAGTCTGACCACCCGATCCCGTTAGTCGCCTCTTACTACAAGTATGTGTTGCTGAAGACCTCATCTAACCCGGATCTTCACGGGTCAAATTTTAAAACGAATGAAGGATTCGAACCCTATTTAACAACATATTTGCACTCAACTCACTGTGAATCATGCTTACAAACGAAAATGGATATGACCGGTGGACAATGCCCCATGATAATAAGATTAGGATTGTAAATAATATAAAATTACCTTGGCCATGGCTTTGAAAGAAACACACAGGCTGCTTTTTTCCAAGACACATCAACATATCACTGTGTTCTGGGAGCACAGCGCAGAGAGAAGAAGATGCGTTTGAGAGAATTATTCTTACACCGAGAACAGATTCAGTAACCATGTATGTTAATCTATATCGTGGGAACTTTTCAAATCAGAAGAGACGATGTTTCATCAGACTTACAAAATGTCAATAAACGTCAAATAAATAGTGACCAATCATGAAATTGTATATGTCTATGACCTACCCACCCCTATGAGACAAATGAACTGATCCGAACACCTGACGAATGGAGTAAATGAAGCATTACAAGATGAACTTGCACGTGCAACACGCTTATCAAGTGGTTGTCAGAGACTATATGCTGAGGTGAAATTAATAGATCGCTGTTTCCTGTGGCACAGCTCTACCGGTAGTTGAACCGCGGGCAGACTTCAGAACGAAGTGACACGGTTCTTCCGACAAAGGCTGAATTACTATAACCGATAATTTATAGACCGCAGTCATACTGCTGAAATATTGCTGAGGGCGACGTTAAACAACAAGCAAACACATAACACTATACAATATTCATTGCAAACATTCGCTTTGAACAGTAGTTCAGTTTAACTTAAGCTTCATGTATATCTAGGCTCTGATATCGTTTCTGAGTTAAACAACAAACAAACAAACACACAAATCTGATATCGCTCAATAATGGTCAGCTTGGTTAATGCATGTCGTCGATCCCAATTGCGTGGGTCGATGCTCATGATGTCAATCACTGGATTGTCTGGTCTAGACTCGATTATTTACAGACCGCCGTCATATAGCTGAGTGCGGCTTTAAGCAACAAACAGACAAAAACAATAATGGTCAAATAGCCAATCCCTGTCTGGTCAAACTACAAACTGTAGATCCACACATATTTGCAGCAGGGTAACAGTGGAACAAGCTGAGTGCGGCGTTTAACAACATATAAACAAACAAACAAAAGTAACAACATGTATGTGAGATCTCTGAAATTATAGCTCGTCCCGTTAGTTACGTTTTGAGACATCATGCAACTTTGTGTGACGTCGAAGAACAGTATCTGGCATTTCTCCCGCCAGCGACTACGTCATACAGGTCTGCCAGATTCTGGTAGGTTGGTGTGATCGAACAAAACATATTTCAAAAATGTCAGGCCATGGGGCAAGGATATATGTAAACATTTAGCAAAGTGAAATATTTTCGCCCATTGGGCGACATTCAATGTAGTTTAATTTTTTTAGGTTTAGAAACGGGTTTTTTCTACCTTAGTATATAACGCTGGGCCGGTAAATATATTTGCCATATCGCTTGTTTCTTTAACCAGTCCTTGGCCACATCTTTAAGATACCTTTGCCGCAGTGACTAATTTTTGTATTGCTCCTATACCTTTCCAATATCCTCGCAGGCTATAGTAAATTTTATTCATTATTAATTAATATTGATCTTTCTTTTAATACGATCCATGACGATTATTGAATCGCATTGCGGTTTTTGCATAAAAAATTACCTCTGTGGTATAGGTATTTGGGGGTGAATCTGGCCTTAGTGGCTGTGAGCCAGAATCACAATTGCCTATATACTTGGGTACAATGTGTGAAGCCCATTTCTGGTGTCCCCCCTCGTGATATTGCTGTAATAATGTTTAAAGAGGCGTAAAACCATACTCACTCACTCACTCTACCAACTTGACAGGACGAAAAGTGCTTGTCGTAAAGGGTGACTGATCGCATCGGGTGGTCAGGCGCGCTGACTTGGTTGATGCATGTCATCGATCCCAATTGCGTGGATCGATGCTCATGATATTAATCACTGGATTGTCTGTTCCAGACTCGATTATTTACAGACCGCCGTCATATAGCTGGAATACTGCTACAACAAACCAACCAACCAAAGTATTTAACTTGTATACAGCGTAAAGTTATTTTTGACATGGGGGCACAGGTCGCCCTTTCGTGTAAGGCTCAGCCCTTTGCTATGAAGAGTTGCGTCTCTTGAACGTACCAGGAACCTATGATCGTGGTTTCGAATCCCGGTTCGCCCTGATTTTGTTTCTGGGTTTATCAGTACAACTCTCGTGCCTGTTGGTTTTACCAGGGAGGTAAACGTCTTAGACCTGCATGCTTCATTTGGGGATTTCCTCCTAGGTCAAGGCTGATACGCCCTGTATTGAGTGAAATACCGTTTTGAGCAGCGTTAAAACAAACTTGCTTGATGGGTTTGCGTCTCGACGTGACGTCATCATGGATGTTTATACCTACTGATTGAACTCGTGAAAACATAATCTACGTTAATGTTCAGTTTAAATAACCAGTTGTTTAAGGTATACATGCTTTCTGATATGGTTGCATACACTTTAAATCCAAATTGTTGACAAAGATAATTTAAAAGTGATTTATTGTTCATTCCTAATTGGTGTGCTCCGTGTTAACTGGACAGACAGACAGACAGACAGTAGTTTATTAGTGTCTCACTTCTGTACATACATAATAAAGCTTTGTACAAATAGACATAGATAGAATGTACAGAACCATTCAATAGAACTATGAGAGACAAATTATCATAAAATTCATACATATATGCTATAAAGATAATATAGTAAAACGTTATCCATGTAAAAGATGCTTTCAACGATTAAGAATTAAAAAAGCAGACTTTGGCTAGTATAAAACACACACTGGCATCACTGAAAATTAAACAAAGTTTGTCGATATCAGGTATATCTAAAAAGAATTAAGATTTAGCAAAATATTCATTTAAAAGAGTTGCCCTGATATCGTCATATAATACGCAGTGAAACAAAGCATGGACCTCGTCTTCTACGCTGTCATTACAGTGAAAATATTTTCTATTATGAACAGGTACACCTTTGTACCGACCGGTTTCCACTCGAATAGGAGCCACGCCACACCTAAACTTGGCTTGTGCCAATCTATAGTTTCTGGGCATCTTATTTGAAACATAGTATTCTGTCTTATATACTTGCTTGTAACATCGGTACATTCTCAGGAACCTGACGGCCACTGAGAGGCCGCTCCCGTGGTCTAGTGGATAGAGCCTGTGGTTCGATCCACGCCCTATTCAAATGAAAATACGTTAAAATATGGTAAATATGGTTACCCTGAAAACTTAAAGAAAACCACATTGCAGCAATGTCATTTTTGTGGCAGACAAGTTGATTGTTTTTCTAGAGTCTGAAGCAAAACTTCTTTTTCAAGAATTTTCTGGGACAATTTAATTTTTGCGATAAAATTCCATAAAATGTACAGGATAGGTTCATTATGCACTTTTAATCATCAAATCTTTCCAGAAATCACACATTTTGAAGTATTTACCAGAAGTCACATATTTTTAATTATTTACAGGCTCTATTTATTCAACCTTATAGTGTGAAACATATTTCACAATTAGTACTTATACGGCAGAAATCATGTTACATAAGACATAATATTGTCACATGATTAGAGTGAGTGAGTGAGTGAGTTGGGTTTAAAAGCCGCTTTAACAGTACTACAGTTATATCGCGGCGTATCGCGGCGTGTTGGAGGAAAGCTCGAAGTGATGCAGGTCTCACACGTTTACCACTTCGGCGAAACCCACGAGCACGAGTATAGTGCTAACAAACCTAGAAACATAATCGGGGCGAACCTGGGATTCGAACCCAAAATCATAGGTTTCTGGCGTGCCCAAGGGACGCAACTCAGCACAGCGAATCGCGTCGCCTTAGACGACAGGGTCACCCGTGCCCCAACATGATTACAAAGACACTTTATACAGAATAAACACTGAACATATGTCTGATATCACACATTTTTAAGCATTAACTAGAAATTGCATATTTTGAATTGTTTACAGGATATATTTCATTACATTATTGCAAAAGACACAATGTAGACAATGTACACTGATCGAAGTTCAGTGCAGTGTCTTTTTTCAGCCCAGCTTCAGCAAATGTCCAACAGCATCCAAGAATTCAAGAGGTGTCTTCAGCCCACTGACCAGCTTCTCTTTGAGACGCACCAGCCTTCCCTCTGAAGACCTTCTTCCTTAGAAGCACCAAAGTCTATCTGTGTCAGCTTGGCATCTTCCGACTTCTCTTCCTGGCCCGTTTCCCTCAAAGTACTGGGAAACCTGACAGGTGGATCTCTAGGTGGGTGCAGTGGTCCGAGACATATTTAAAGAAGTCCCAAACTGTGGAGTTCCCTCGGCAGGTCTTGATGCATCTTCCCGAGGCAAGAGAGTTAACTGACTTTAAAAGTCCAGTTCCCACCCTTTTGAACTAGACTGGTATTATGGAGTTACATTTTGGCTGGACTAACGAGTCTATGCATAGTCCAATCAAAATCGCGCTCCGAAATCGAAATCCGGTTCGTAAACTGTCATGCAGATTTCGGTCATTTGGAGGATTTGCAAAGCATGTGCACCGCCAACTCGTTATCAACAGATATTTTCTAAATCTTTTCATGTTTTAATCAAGGTGCTCGCGTGATTTGATGCACTCCGTGATGTAAGACTCGTTTTATCACAATATAGATCTTGATTATCGATCAGATCGTCTTGACGGGGCGCCACCGTTTTGTTTGAAGCAAATGCAAGTGATACGAGAGATGGAATCTGATTGGTCCATAGGAGAGGCATAGAACTCGTAATAGCCACTGATGGCGCCACGATCGAGCCCAGGAATTCGGCAAGGGTGGAAACTGGACTTTTAAAGACAGTTAACTCTCTTGCCTCGGGAAGATGGTCTTGATGATACATCTCCAGTGTGTGGTCTGGCCTCTGGCTCGATTCTTTGAGGAGGTAACCTATCAAGAATTAATTGCTAAACAATCCCAACGGTTAAAAGATGTTATTAATCTTCATTGAGGTTCATATAATCTCTATCATTGAAAAAAACTACGCTTAATCTTTGATAAAAAAAACAACACACGCAACCCGACACAGATCAAACACAACTTATAAGTACAATCATAATCCGTTTTAATCTGTATCACTTACCTAGTTGGAGTAGCTTACTCTGCCCACAGTATGAAGCAGCTCAGTAATTAGTTGGTTTAGACCAGGAAGTTACACTGGTCACGCTTGACTGGTCTCTCTGATGATTGGGACGGCTGACAATATGGGGTCTTACAATTGGGAATGAACCGTTCGCACTCTAAAGTGAAGCTGTGCTAGGGGATGTCACCTGTTTGCTGTTCTCACAGTAGTAGCGTTATAGCTCGCCGAATTATCCCACCTCAGGGTCGCAGCCATGGCCAAGGTAAATGACCTTTAAGTTACTTAAAATATGTCACATATCTAAATTGTTGGCGTCGTTTTAATCAAATGAGTGTGTTAATGAACATGCGGTCGTTGGTATCACAAAAGGGGTAAACGCCTCAGACCTGCATTACCCAAGGCTTTCTCTGCCATTGCGCTGATACGAACACGCATCCCGGTTCGCCCCGATAATGTTTCTAGGTTTGTTAACACTATATCGTACTGGTGGGATTTATCTAAGTGGTACACGTCTGAGACCGCCATCACTTCGGGCTTTCCTCCCACACTAAGCAGACACGCCTTGATATAACAAATAAGCTGTTCCAAGCGACTTTAAAACCCGTCTCACTTGCTAACTTCCTTATACGTTCCGGAACGGTAAACCCTCAAAATATAATTTTTGTCTCATATTACCTTTTTTCAGCTGGGATCATGTCAGTATCTCATTTCAAAGTTCAGATATGAAACAATTAACATATAAAAGCACCTTAATCAAATATAAATGCATGTTTAGAGCGCTGACTGAGAAATAATCTGTCTCAAACAAAAGTGCCATCACACACATCCGACTCTCTATACAGTAAAGTACGGTTATAACGAACTCACAGAGACCACTAGTCTTAAATTTTCATAACCGTAGTTCGATATACGCATATGCACAACATATATACAGCAAATGGACGTGACCAAGAAATTGTTCGTTATATCCGTCAGGTCGTTATGAACGTGTTCGTTATAACCGTAGTTTATTGAACTCATAATCTGTCAAGTGTGTAATATTATTTAAATGGATTGACATATGTGATTATCCATGTCAAAAGGTTATTTGGCATACACACTCAACAAAAAAGAAACGCATAGGTTATCTTTGAAGCTTTTTACTGCATTCAATTAAATGTGGATAAATTATTTTATTTAATTTGATTAACACAGAATGAAACTTATCATGGTGAGAGTCACCTGTTCTGTTGACATAATGGAAATACTGATTTTCCTGTCACAAGACACGTACGTCAACGAGGGGAGGGGGGGGGGTGGGGGGGGGGGGGGGGGGGGGGGGGTTCCGTTTAGTGCCGAGTGTGATCACCGTGTGCTGTTATCACTGCTCTCCGCCTCTTTGGCACAGACTGAATAAGTCTACGGATTCTGTCCTGTGGAATTCTTCTCCATTCTACCTGCAACACGTTGGCCAGTTGTGCAGGTATCTGTGACGTATGTTGACGTTGACGTACACGTCTATCGAGTTCACCCCGCAGTTGCTCTATCGGGTTCATATCCGGAGATCTGGAAGGCCATGGCAAGACATTGACGTTTGAATTACGACGAAAGTCAACAGTGACACGCGTTGTGTGTGGTGTAGCGTTGTCATGTTGAATCAACCCCCTCTGGCGGTTGGTAATCGGAAGAAGGTGACGTTGAAGAACTTGGTTGATGTATCCACTTGCTGCAGATTCCCTTGAACCACCACCAAGTCAGATCTCCGTGTATAGGATATGGCTCCCCACACCATCACACTTCCGACTATTTTTAAACGGTTTTTGGTTAACACGCTGTCTTCCATCTCGGCGTCAGAGAAGAAATCGTCATTAATCACTGAACCAGACTTGGCGCCAGTTTCTCAGAGTCCATGCCTGTACGGTCTTGCTTCAATGTTGTCGTCGATGAAAATGTCCCAATACAGGGACAGGGACGAGTCCTGATTGTTTGGGACCCGTGAAGATTCCGGGGTAGAATAGGTCTTCAGCAACCCATGCTTGCCGTTAAAGGTGACTATGCTTGCCGTAAAAGGTGACTATGATTGTCGTTAAAGGCGACTAACGGGATCGGGTGGTCAGGCTCGCTGACTTGGTTGATGCAAATTGATGGTTGATCCCAATTGCGTGGCTCGATGCTCATGATATTAATCACTTGATTGTCTGGTCCAGACTCAATTATTTACAGACCACCTTCATATAGCTGGAACATTGCTGAGTGCGGCGTTATACAACAAACCAACCAACCAACCTGATTGTTTGGTCCGATCATACCTTCTTCAAACAGGCATTTTCCTGTAGTGTCGGTGGCAGTAGCATGTCAATGACGAAGATGAAAGACCCGGGTGTAGCGATCTTGTGCAGGGGTGGTGACTGTTGGTCAATCACTTCTCGGATGATTTTAGGTTCAATTGAGGCGGATATACCGATCCCATAAACGAGCTAGGTACTCTGGTGTACATTGATAACGTGCAGCTGCAGACTGGGACTCTCCAGCTTCAAGACGTCCCATGGCGATGTTGCGAATAGCAGCATTCAGTTGCGGCATTTTCACACGTCCAAAATGGCGACAAATATATGACAAAATGTTGACTAACGTCAACCTTTTATAATCATTGTCTCGCTGTGCAGAGTTGCGTCCCTTGGGCACGCCAGAAACCTATGGTCGTGGGTTCGAATCCCGGTTCGCCGCGATTATGTTTCTAGGTTTGTCAGCTCGTGGGTTTCACCGAAGTGGTAAACGTCTGAGACCCGCATCACTTCGGGCTTTCCTCCCACATTAAGCTGACACGCCGCGATATAACTGGAATAGTGTTAAAAGCGGCGTTAAACCCAACTCACTCACTCACTCGTTGCATATGGTTGTCACAGCTTGCGCGTGCATTCTGCTTATTATTTCCTTTCCATTACAATTTCGTGCAGGCTCATGAAACTTGCTGTATAAAGCCACAAAAGTGTAAAACGGTTTCGTTCGTGTACGACACCAGTTAAAGAACATGTGACGAACATCGCCAAATCAAAAGTATTGCATTTGTATTAAAAGGTTTCATGAATAAACAAAATCAATATTCTCATTATCTCCTTTGCGTTTCATTTTTGAAGAGTGTTTGCCGAATTGTAATCCACATTTTAGTGAGTGAGTGAGTATGGTTTTACGCCGCTTTTAGCAATATTCCTGCAATATCACATTGTACCCATGTCGGGAATCGAACCCGGGTCTTCGGCGTGACAAGCGAACGCTTTAACCACTAGGCTACCCGACTGCCACATTTTAACTTTATTGATAGAAATGTACGTACGTTATACACCTCCGTTGACATGCTTCCCATTCAAAGGTCCCAAAAGGATCCCAGGTATTTCAATCTAAATTTATTACTGAAACAAAACGCTATCGCTATCAGTTTATATATTAATTTGATAACTGATCTGAGGTGAGTGAGTATGATTTAACGCCGCTTTTAACAGTATTTAAGTGATGCAGGCCTCAGACGTTCACTAGTTTGGTGAAACCCATGAGCGCTGTATTAATTCTGGAGGGATTTAGCAGGTGTGGTGTGCACAAACACGAAACGTTATACATTTTGGATTTTGATATTTTTTGTACAAGTGTAAATGTATTACTCATCTTAAACTTACTCATTTTATAACCTGTTGAATACAGGCACAACTACCAAACGTTTCGTGGATTATTTGCATTGGCGACAACGACTTGAGTATTAAGCACACGCACAAATGACACCCGCCCATTTCTTTACAAATTGATAAGCGAAAGTATCCACAGAGATTCGAGGATGTTTGTCTTTATTCACAAAATATTGCAATCTATTTCCACAGACGGTGAAATATTTATCTGGTCCTTTTTGTAAATACAAGCTATTCTGTTTTTCACAGGGATGTGTACCTTTCGCCCTTCGCCTCGTGAGAAAAGAATTGCTGCATATACTAGCGTTCGTCATCACTGGATTCGTTATCAATTCAGCATTCGTGTACCGAAATATACACTCAGTCAGTCGAGTGGCTTACGAGGACACCCTCACGGTGAAAACAGTCGTTATTGCGCCAGCCCAACGGGCATACTCTAAAGGTTCACGTGTCAATGTTCCAATTGTCAAAGTCAAGTATCATACCAGCCTTGTCCCTTATTCTGAGTTTTTTGTTCCTCGTCTGGAGAGAGTTACGCCCCTTGATTTCGAATTCATGTCGGCCACAAGAGGACCCTGTAACAGCGATCAGCCATTTCTGATTGTTCTCGTTCTCTCAATGACGAAAAATTGGAAGTTGAGGAAAGCTGTGCGTGAAACATGGGGCAGCGTTAACAGAACAAACACGTGGGCAGGTAAACCGTTACGGAAGCCCGTTCGAGTCATATTTGTGATTGGGATGAGCAAGAATGACGACGCACTGCTACACGAATCCGATGTATACGGAGACATAGTCCACGTGTCTGTTCAGGAGAGTTACTTCAATCTGACATACAAAGTGTTGATGGGGATACGTTGGGTTTATCAGTTCTGCAGAGAAGTCGAATTTGTTGCTAAAGTTGACGAGGATACTTTCCCCGATGTCCCCGTGTTTCTGGACATATTGACATCAGGGAATATGACCAACACAATAATGGGGCCATTCTTCACTTTCAGCAAAGTACAACGAACAGGCAAATACGCTGTGAGTGAAGCCTCATACCCCGCTCCTCAGTTTCCCCCGCACTGTAAGGGGAACTTTTACCTCATGCCCGCAGATCTGGCGTTCAGGATTTTGAAGACGGCACAGCATCTGCCTTACGACAACATGGAGGACGCCCATCTTACCGGGGTTGTTGCTTACTCCATCGGCGGGGTTAGATTTCGTGGCGTGACAAGGAAACAGTACAATATATTTGACCCACCCAAAGTGTGTGAATATGTCACTGGTACAAAGATCGTTGCACAGAAAGTTCACCCCGCGCTGGGCCAGGAGATATGGAAACGTTTTAATGACGAGTCGCTCTGTTCTAAGTCACGAAATCGAGACCATTGATCGACCACACGTTATTAACTTATTATTATCTCACACATATATTGTGAATATCCGACCGAACCAAAATAGAATATCATTATGTCTACAAATGATTAATTAATTAAACGTCTAGCTATCTATATCTATCAAGCGACGTCACTTCGTAGTACATTATTGTCAGAACAATAAGATCTGTGTACATCACGTCCCTTGTAATATGAATGTAACAATGGGCCGATGGCCTACACTTACGAATTAAACCGAATTGTCATATGACCTATTCATGATTATTCTGTTGCATAGTTATACTTTAATCGTCACGCTTAATGGACACGCTCCAGTGAACGGTAAAAGGCATCGCAATTCGTTGTTCAGAGTTGCGTCCCTTAGTTTTTCGCTTGTCTTGGCTTGGGGTTACACACAACCAAATCTTTTTCCATTGACTTCAACAGTAACGTTATGTTTTGTTTAAACAACTAAGCATTGAACAGCTATTACATGTACACGTGTGCACAGTTTGGCCTTAAAGCAGCTAAAAAAAACATAAAAATGACTAGCTTAGCCAGCACGTTTTCCGAGTACATGAAGCTAAACACACACCCCCCCCCCCCCCCCCCCCCCCCCCCCCCCCCAATTCCGCACCAAATGTCATAAAAAGACAGCACTTAATATAGAAAAGCGCGGTCAGTTACTGGACGGATGTACATTCAAATAAACAGAAAAATCTTACAGACAATCATCCAATCACAGCTGCCAGCTCATTCGATCTGCACTGTATGAAAGCTTGTTGAACGACTGATTCTGTTTGTTTGTTTGTAGTTTAACGCCGCACTCAGCAATATTCCAGCTATATGACGGCGGGTTTTAAATAATCGAGTCTGGACCAGACAATCCATTGATTGACACTATGAGCTTCGATCCACGCAATTGGGATCGATGTCATGAATCAACAAAGTCAGCGAGCCTGTCCACCCGATCCCGTTAGTCGCCTCTTACGACAAGCATAGTCGCCTTTTACGGCAAGCATTGGTTGCTGAAGACCTTTTCTACCCTGGATTTTCACGGGTCGACTGATTCTGATTTGGCGTAGTACATGTAGATCTTTTGAATTGTGATTCGATTGTGATCCTCAGTCTGACAGCACCATTCTCGCAATGCTTAATAAAGGGTGCTGGTATCTGCACCGAGACTTTGCAAGTGAGTAAAGGCTCTCGAAATTGACAGATCAAAGATGGCCGAGTGTTGGTGTCCCTAGTGATCCGTTGATCCGGGGAACTCCGGATTCAACCTTCACATTTTGAGAAACGGAACAAAAACTAAGGCTGACAAGCTGTTTCTGGGTGAACACAGTTGTATTAACACTAATGTACTTCAGTCACCATGGCTGTTTTAAATTTCAAACACTGATTGCTATTAATCCTTTCCTTGACTCAACAATCTGTTACTGGCATGACAATGTTGTATTGACACTATCAATAGATCAGTTTATTTCAACTTAATGTAACTCCAAGTTGATTGATAGTTTTCCCCTTTCTTACAAGGACTGAACAATCTCTTACTGGCATGACATTGTTGTATTGACACTATCAATAGCTTAGTTTATTTCAAATATTATGAAACTACAGGTTAATTGATTGTTTTCCTTTCTTGCTGACAAGGACAAAACAGCTGGGTGCAAGGTAGTTCACATTAGGGATTCAACTTCTTTTTGTACACCAATTACAACTTTGAGTATTCCAGTTATATCACGGCGTATCAGTTAAATGTTGGAGGATAGCCCGAAGTGATGCAGGTCTCAGGTTTCTTGGTTTGTCAGCATAACATACCGCTGATCATGGGTTTCAACGAAGTGGTAAATGTCCTGCATCATTTGGGGATTTCCTCCCACATTTAGCTTACACGCCGTTATATAACTGAAAAGCTGTTAAAAGCAACATTAAACCCAACTCACTCACTCACTCACTACATGTTGCGCTTTTGCGCAGACCAGCGCTCAACAGTGTCAAGCTAAACATCGTTTTTACAAAATCGAAGAAAATGGTCGTACGCATGAAAAAATACATGCGTATAAACCAATGAAGCATATATACTGCACTAAAAAGGTTAGTGAGCATGATTTTTTGTTGTTGTTGAAATTTTTGCAGTGAAGGCTAATGTTTTACAAATGATTATGCTATATACAAATATTTCCTGATCCCTAACCTTTCTCTAGTTATCAGCGACCTGTACAGCTGGTCTGAATTATACACATATCCATGACCATAGGAACTGTTAATATAATAGAGAAGAAACTGTTAACATAATAGAGAAGAAACTGTTAATATAATAGAGAAGAAACTGTTAACATAATAGAGAAGAAACTGTTAATATAATAGAGAAGAAACTGTTAACATAATAGAGAAGAAACTGTTAATATAATAGAGAAGAAACTGTTAATATAATAGAGAAGAAACTGTTAACATAATAGAGAAGAAACTGTTAATATAATAGAGAAGAAACTGTTAATATAATAGAGAAGAAACTGTTAACATAATAGAGAAGAAACTGTTAATATAATAGAGAAGAAACTGTTATTAAATAGGGATACGATACTCTGGATAATTGAGGATGAATAATAGAATAATTTGAAACTATTTTGCTTTTTTGGGGGTGTGATACCATGACATAAACGTGTATACGTCAGGAGCGTTTTAACTAAATCCGACACTGAAATATGGGAACTTGTTGTTACCCTGACTAGCGCCCGGCATAGTCGGTGAAACCCACTGGTCGGCTCAGAGTCTGTGCCTGAATTGGGTATCCATGTTAAACTACACCTACTATCTCAGTTTGCTGGCACCGTAATACTGTCACTAGTCAGGAATAACACAAACACACACTTAAGTGCATGCACACTTTATAAGTGCAATTATCTTGAACGCGATTTCACCTCACCTCTCTATTCTATCAGAGACCAATAGTTTATGCTCTCTGTTTACATATAGACAAAGATCCGAGGTTACCCTTGCCCCGAGGTATCTCTGAGAACCATCAGCTTCTAAAAATGTTTGCCAAAGAACAAATACATCCCAACATCATACCATCTCGTCAAGTTAACATTTACCGTTATTTACCAAAGGTGTACTTGTTTCTTTGAATACATCATATAGAAAAGATGAAATTGAATAGAAAAGATCTCGACATGAGCTTACTGGAACACAATGAAGTGATGACGAGTCCTTTGTTGCGACCCATTGAAAAAGGCCCCCATGAAGATCTGGTTATATTTGGTCTTCAACAACCCCTGCTTGTCGTAATAGGCGACTGACGGGATCGGGTGGTCAGGCTCGCTGACTTGGTTGATGGGTGTATCGTATCCCAATTGCGTGGATCGGTGCTCATGTCAATCACTGGATTGTCTGGCCCAGACTCGATTATTTACAGACCGCCGCCATACAGCTGGAATATTGCGGAGTGCGGCGTTAAACAAGAAACAAACAAAAAAGAAGGGTGATTGGTCAGATATACCACAATATCTTATCCTGACTGATTTTGATATAGACTGCCGTCATATCTGTGCAGCGTTAACCCACCAACAAACAAATCACAGCCAGTAGCACCGCCTCCGACGACCGGGGTACCAGGGCCCTCAGTCATCTAAAAGTCACACGTTTTAATACCTTTAAAGGCTTGATGTGAGAAGGTCGTTTTGATTTCAATGTCACCAACAGAGAATTCCAATGGCACTATGTGACTGTCAATGCAAAATGTTGCTCTCTCCCAAGTACATACAACAAAACATGTGTCGATCAGTGACCAAAAGAAAGCTAATACCCAGGTACTCTCGACTGAGTTGGTTTTAACGCCGCAGGATACCAGTTAAATTACGACATGTCGGCTTGATGTGGGAGGAACACCCGAAGTAATGCAGGTCTTAGACGTTTACCAATTTGGTGAAACCCACGAGCATGGGTATGGTGCTGACAAACCTTGAAACATAATATGCGCGAAACGGGATTCGAACCCACGATCAAGGGACGCAACACTGCACAGCGAATTGCGGCACCTTAGACGACTGGGCCACCCTTGCGCCCCGATGAGATTAAGTTGACATATTCAAAGGTAAGTCACGAAGGAAGAGCTATTTGCCACACATATTATCACAGCAGAATTTTCGACCCTTAGTTGACAGGTGACGGAGGTAGTTTGGCGTTAAATCGACCTACTCCAGCCCACTTAAGTATAATAATTTACTCTAATAGAATCAGCAGATGAGAATGGAACAGAAAATAACGAAATGTAAACATTGTCGAAACGTTTATTGACAGTCGGCAAACACAGGTACAAAACAAGCAATAGCACTGACATACTCAAACAGGTTGATTCAATATAAAGGAACATAACAGTAACTATGACTTGTCAAGTGTGTGGCTGGGCTTGCGATACAAGCCCCGCGTGCACAACGAAAGCGCCATGTTATGTGTCTGTTATAGAAGCGTATTAGTGCCACTGTCTTAAAAGAATTCTACTTAGATGATACTTACATCTACATTGATGATACTTACATCTACGTAGATGATACTTACATCTACGTAGATGATACTATGTGATATAATAATCGCACGTATCGCTACTCAGACATTGATTTTGTTTTGTGAAATTGCGACCCTAGTCGGATACTACATGTAGTTTATAAACATTAATATTTTAAATAAAGGCGATTATTTAATTACTGTTAATTTAATTAAATGTTGGTTGTATATTTTCATTTGGTCTTTTCCGTATTTTCACAACATACTGAGATCATTTAAAAAAATCCGCGCTTAAATATAAGTGCTTCAGTGCTTCATAGGATGATGACGATTATTGGTTTGATATAGTTTTTATTGCTTTTATAGTCATGATCACGTTATCCGTGATGGAGAAATCATGAGAATAAACATATTCAAGTGATTTCTCCGGAAAGTATCATCTACGTAGAAGTAAGTATCCTCTACGTAGATGTTAGTATCCTCTACGTAGATGTTAGTATCCTCTACGTAGATGTTAGTATCCTCTACGTAGATGTTAGTATCCTCTACGTAGATGTTAGTATCCTCTACGTAGATGTTAGTATCCTCTACGTAGATGTTATTATCCTCTACGTAGAAGTAAGTATCCTCTACGTAGATGTTAGTATCCTCTACGTAGATGTTAGTATCCTCTACGTAGATGTAAGTATCCTCTACGTAGATGTTAGTATCCTCTCCGTAGATGTCAGTATCCTCTACGTAGATGTTAGTATCCTCTACGTAGATGTTAGTATCCTCTACGTAGATGTTAGTATCCTCTACGTAGATGTTAGTATCCTCTACGTAGATGTTAGTATCCTCTACGTAGATGTTAGTATCCTCTACGTAGATGTTAGTATCCTCTACGTAGATGTTATTATCCTCTACGTAGATGTTAGTATCCTCTACGTAGATAACACTTTTGTAGACTATGGCACTAATGCGCTTCCAAAGTCTGTCATCTAGGGTGCGTTTGTGCCAGTTTTACAGATCCAACCTCGTTAACTGGGAGGTACCGATCCAAGTGTAAACGTTCTGATTGACCAATAATCGTCTTGTTGTTATTTCCGTTCACTTGATAAAAGTTATCCCCAACAGATAGTGTCCTGACTTATAGGGTGTCACTATACAGGATGCATAAGAGTATCATTATAAATTTTATTTCATAATATATGTCGTAATATTTGTCACTTGCCATTGTCAGACAAGTATAAGTGGTTAACGTATGTATGTACGTATGTGTGTGTGTGTGTGTGTGTGTGTGTGTGTGTGTGTGTGTGTGTGTGTGTGTGTGTCTGTGTGTGTGGGTGCATGCGAGCGTGTGTGGGTGTACGAGCGTGCGTGTATATATAGATGCATGGTAATATGTTTGTATAGGTGGGTGTATAAATATATGGAATAGAAGGACGTGAGTATATCTGATCTTAGTGCATGTATTCGAGGTTGTGTACAGTGAATGCTCCGGTGTATGTTTGTACAGGTGTCAATCATGTATGTCGAGTGTGTCAAGTGTGTCTCTGTGGAGGAGTGTGTGAGTGGCAGGGTACATCTGTACAAGTATAAAGTGTGAAGACGTGTATGTGTGTGTGTGTGTGTCCAATCGGCTGTGTGTTACTACATGTATATGTATAACGCACGTTGAATTCCCACTTATGATGACGTATTTTCTCTTACCATTAGTACATATTTATAGTACATACTAAAATATGTAGCATATTTGATTTATAATAATAATAATAATAATAATAATAATAATAACAATAACAATAATAATAATAACAATAATATGAAATGTAGTTAATGAATATAATGTGACTGTCCAACACATTGTCAGTGGATGCCCAGCTTTGGTACGAACACAGTATCTTAAGCAACATTATGGAGCGGCTCGATCATTTTATTACCGTCTTCGCCATGCTTGTGGTTTTGACACACAGGTCCACCCATGGTACGCCCCGGAATATGTAGAGGGCGTCATGGAAAATGATAAATACAAAATTCTTTGGAAAAGGCCCGCTTACAGCCTCAGACGTATCCAGGCCAACAAACCTGATTTTGTCTTTTTTGATAAATCCAATAAACTCATTTATATCATTGAATTTTCTGGCCCTTTTGACACTAACGTGATTGAAAGAATGAGAAAAAACATGGCAAATATGCAGACCTCGCTTTCGAAACGTCACGCTTGCATCCCAAGTTCCACGTTGTCCGACTCCCCATTGTTCTCCGTGCCTCAGGTTTGGTACCTCCCAATCTGTTGACTGACGTCGGGAGAGTACCCGGGTTTGGTACCAGGAATACAGCCCTGCTGACAATTTGGGTAAAGCAGAAGGCTGCAGTGTAGGGCAGTCTTCACATTCTCCGAAAGGTTCTGGGTGGGTTTGACTAGGCAGCGCTTCCTGGGAGAAGTCCCATTCGCTGTCTGGGCTGCGTGTAGAGGGGGCAGGGGCCCTGAGCTGATGATGAGCCGAACCAGCCTGACTGTGCCAGGATCACCCAAACCCTCTTTGCTGCATTTTATATTTTTATTTGTACATAATAATACGATTGAGATACAAACGATAAAAACAAATATGTTGCTTTTCAAAGATGAGATGTCTAAGATGCCCATCAGCAGTTATCTATTTTGTTTTTAATTGTTGAAAGTTTTAAATCCAATTATTTTAAGCAATAGAACCATGTAGAAGTATTCTTTGAGTTCTAACTAAGTGCCAGTACAATTCATTCTTTGGATATTCTATCTCTAACTTGCCTGGTTGCAATACAAGTTTTATTCTGGTGATAATATGATGCTCTGTAATGTCAACTGTACCTTCTGTACAAGTGCTCAATGGTTTGTTCCTGTTAAATATTTATCTACATTTACCTGACTCCATTTCAACCTGTGCTGCAGTCAGTGAATCCGTAGGACAATAAGGCAAACGCACTATAAGTGCCATTATGATTTCCTGTGACGAAGCACTGCGATGTCTTGCATTTGAGATAAAAACGACTTCAGATATTTCCTGTTCTCATATTCCAAGACTGAACAAAACATCTTGAGATTGTTGGCCTCAATACATGCTCCATGATATATGTATCAGTTTACATTTTTTGCAAGGCTACTGTAAAAAACTGAAAGCTTGTTCTCAGATGAAGAAGTCTGGACATACATAGAGTCGATATTTTGCGGGGTACAGTCTAGAAATATGAGAATATTCTTCCGGGTTTGAGGTTACACACAACCAAATGTTTTCCCAAGGACTTCTATAGTAACGTTATAATTATTTTTTAAATAACAAAGCATTCAACAGCTATTACCTGTACGTGTGTGCACAGTTTTGCCTTAGAGCAGCAATAAAAAATTAAAAAATGACTAGCTTAGCCAGCTCCTTTTCCGAGTACAGGAAGCTAAACACACCACCCCCAGTTTCGCACCAAATGTCACCTACTTGAAAATAGCTGTGGTCACATTCAGCATTAGTCATCATGTTGAAAAAGACAGTGAGTACTAAACATAGAAAAAACATGGTCAGTTTTAATAACTGGATGGATGTACATTTGAAAGACATAAAAATCTTACAGAATATCCTCCAATCACAGCCTGCAGATAGCTCTCGATCTGCACTGAAGGCTCCCTATGAAAACCGCACTGTCCAAACTGGTTCTGATTTGGTGTAGTAGAACCTTGAGGCGAGCCGAATGCATGACAAGGGCGGAAGAGTTATGGCCCTAATTTGAAGCGCGCGTACAATCCCATAATCTTAATTTATCCTTGCCGACAGCAACACGTGTCCAGATATAGACGTATTAGCTACTGCAGAGAGTGATTAATAGATACTTATGAAAATACAGTCATGTGCAACTGCCGTTGATTATCTAATCTTATCACCGAGTGACCAAGACGACACAGTGTAGTTTCCGCGAGAAAGAGGAGTTAAGCATATACACACACCGGCTGAGTGAACTTGTGATTGAATATAAGGTACAGTGAGGTGAAATGGGGTTTAACGTTGCATTAGAGATTACTGCATTTGTGCCGCGAAGTTTGCAAATGTATGTGCGTGCGTGTGCGTGCGTGTGCGTGCGTGAGTGTGGCTGCTTGTACTAGTACGGAACAATGCCGGTTTTACAGTGCTTGCCTACTGAACTGCCATCCCGTAAGTTTAACAGTGAACCCCACTCAGACAGAATACGTACTCCGAGCAGACCAGCCTTGGTTTCATCGCCTTTCTGCCGAGCGCCAGGCAGGGAAACAATAAGTACCAGCTGTTAACGTTTTGGGTATGACGCTGACAACCGCACTTTCCTTCTCCGGGCATTTGCTCTATCCACTGAATCGGACGTTTCAAATAAACCTCCAGTGTCGTCATCGCATAGTCTCTTATAAAGTTTTTTTACAGCCTAACTCTCACACACTCAGTCAGCTTGTTGAAATACTCGTTTGGCAAACACACAATAGAATCTACACTTTGCATGCGACATGATTAATTAGATAAACCATTGATTATGAGTCTTGGGAACACATCACACTGTCTGTTTGCTACTCTATATGGAACATGAAAACATGAAAAAAACGCTGCTGCTAACAAATTGGACATTGTCAGTTGTGCGATTGAAAGTCTAAGCCACTTTGGCAGTATTGCAGCCATATTGTGACAAGCGTAAGTATTACCTTTGTATGAAAAAATATCTTGCAACCAGTACGTTAAATAGTATTCAGAGGCACGGTATCACATGCTTTCATGGTTTATATATTTTTTTTCATGGTTTATATTGTTTGTTTTGTTTTATGGTTTATAAGTATTGTAAATATTAATATTTGCCTATAAATATTCTTTGGATTTAACTCTGGAAATAAAGTGTAAAATTGTATTCTTTCATTGTGTACATTGACGTATTGCAAACAACGTATTTGTCTTTGCATTCATTCATTCATTCATTCATTCATTCATTCATTCATTCATTCATGTAAATAATTGAGTTTGAACAAGACAAACCTGAGACTTCATAACACGAGCATTGATCCGCACTATCACGATGACACGCCATCATCCCAAAACACACGATACATCAATAAATGATGTTGCTGAGGACCAATTCTATCTCGACATAGCCACGGAGCTGTCCACGGTGGTAACATTGCAAGTTACCGTATTGCTTATCGGCAACTCAATAAGACTTACATGGCGCTTGGGGCAGAGTTGTGTTTCTAAGTCGTCCCAGGATCCGATATCCGTTGGTTCCAATCCTAGATTTGCCTTGACCGCCTTATAATGATGATTTTCGGTCTGTCACCATCATACCCGAACTCGTTTCAAAGTTTTAAGGTCTGCGACTAGTTAGCCTTTTCTTTAACGTTAAGCTGACACAACGTGGCATAACTGGCGCTGTATCAAGAGGTGTTAGACACAACACTGTAACAGAATGTCTATACACACATTGATTTCAACAGCATGTATCCATGTGTCCATAACGTTTGATGCAGAAAACACGAATGACGAAACACTTTACTCAATTAAGGAATGTACACAATGCTTGAAGGAAACGTTCCTATACGTGCAGTGAACTCACTACCACCAGCAAGCATATCTCTCCAGAGGCAAGAGAGTTAACTGACAATATAAGTCCAGTTTCCACCTTTGCCGAACTAGGCTGGCATTATTGAGTTCTATTTTGGCTGGATTAACGAGTCTATGCATAGTCCAATCAAAATCGCGTAACGAAATCGACATCCGGTTGCCATATAGATTTCGGTCGCTTGCAGGATTTGCGGAGCATTTGTACCTGCAACTCGGCGTCAACAGATAGTTTCCAAAACATTTCATGTTTTTAAGCAAGGTGCTCAAGTGATTTGATGCACTTCGCCATGTAAGAACCGTTTTACTATAATATACGTTTTGATTATCGATCACATTGTCTTGGCTGGGCACCGCCATTTTGATGAAGTAAACGTAAGTGATATGAGAGGTGGAATCTGATGGGTCAATGGGACAAAAAAGGGACATAACTCGTAAAAGCCACTGGTTGTGCTACGATCGAGCCCAGGAATTCCAGCCTAGGTCGGCAAGGGATCAAAACGGCGTGAAACGTCATAATAATGCCTCTGCAGAAGGGAAAAGCAAGAAAGTAACACTTGGAAAGGAACTCGCTACGAGCAATCGCACTGACCACTGTGCCACCTCGAGATTGGGCAAATGCCGTGTCGATATTTCGACCAAATGGACGGAATAGTTAAGCTAAACAATGATATTGAAAATGTCCAAGCTTAGACAATTACTATTGATAAAAAATATATACTCTTTACTCCAACGTCTTTTTTATCACAGATATATCTTTTTCAAAGAGTGTTTCATATCTTCACGTCAAGGTAATGTCTGCCGGCTTCTCAACTGCGGGCGCTTCCGGTGAAAGAGATTTCATAGGGTGGGAATCCTCCATGATGTCGAAATCACGCTGTATTGGGGATACGCTGTCGTCCAGTTTTTTCTTCCTGTGAAATTGTGAATTTATTGTTCTTTTATATCAATAATAATCTGTTTAATCACAACGGTTTTTTCGAACAAGGGGACGCAACTCTGCATAAGAAATTTGGACAATGGGCCAACAGGGCCACGAAACATACATAGTTACGCAGCTTCAGATTTGCAAGTGGTCGAGTTGCCAGAAACCTTTGATCGTAGGTTCGAATCGCCCCCATTATATTTCTAGGTCTGTCAGCATCATAAACTCGCTCGTGGTGTAAAACAAAGTGGTAATTACGTCTAAAAAGTCACTCCAAGCTTTCCTTCTACATTAAGCTGACACGCTGTGAGTGAGTGAGTGAGTGAGTGAGTATGGTTTTACGCCGCTTTTAGCAATATTCCAGCAAGGTCACGGCGGGGGACACCAGAAATGGGCTTCACACATAAAAAAAACCCGGGGGGATAAAAAAATGGACGAAAGAGTGGCTGAAAAATATTGTTTATGAAAAAACAAAACAATTCCTTAATACTTGCCCAAAGCTCCTGATTCCAAACCTTCTCGCCATGTGGCCGGCCGCCAGTCGCATCGTGGGGGACTCCCAGTAGTCCCCTTCCTTGGAGAAGTAGTAATACACTCCCCCGAAACACATGATTGTCAAGGCCATGAACCCCCACAAGATCAGCTGGTCATTCCTGAAACACGAGGAATGGTACTAACATTTTCATTTTTTCTTTGTCTTAAAATATGACATTTTATTGACATATGACATTTTAAGAAGCAACAACAGCCGTTTGTTTGTTTGTTTGACGCCCCACTCAGCAATACGCAATTTTTATGACTGCGGTCATTATAATCGAGTCTGGACCACACAATCAAGTGACTGACATCATGAGCATCTATCTATGCAATTGGGATGCGATGACATTCATCAACCAAGTCAGCGAACCTGTCGCCTCTTGCGACAAGCATGGAATTTTTGAAGACCAGTTATAATCCTGATCTCCACGGGGCACAGCCGTTTGTAATTAGCGAATGGTGGATAAAACGAGTTTTCGTTTGTTTGGTTCCTTGAACTGCGTCTTTTGCGGGCGTAACGTGGTTTCTAGAACTGAACTTATGGAGATAGAAATTTCTCGAACTTCAAGAGAACTTTAACCCATTGTAAGGCTTGTTCGGAGCGGCTGAGTAGCCTAGTAGTTAAAGCGTTCGCTCGTCACGTCGAAGGGCTGGGTTTGATTGCCCACATGGGTACAATGTTTGAAGCCTGTTTCTGGTGCCCCCCTCCGTGATATTGCTCGAATATTTTTAAAAGCGGCCTAAAATAATACTCACTCACGCACTCTATCGAATCTCAGTGTGATATGCACAATTTATCTCAGTTGGTTGGGTGGTTTGTTGTTTAACGCCGCACTCGGCAATATTCCAGCTATATGACGGGGGTCTGTAAATAATCGAGTCTGGACCAGACAATCCAGTGATAGACATCATGAACATCGATCCACGCAATTGGGATCGTTGTCATGCATCAATCAAGTCAGAGAGCCTGACCACCCGATCCCGTTAGTTGCCTCTACGACAAGCATATTCGCCTTTTACGGCAATCATGGTTGCATTGTCTCACGTTAAATTTGAGTAAGGAGCATGGGGTCCCAACGAAACTACCTGCCATCACTCGTACATTCAGAACGCGATGGCAACAAGTGTGCTGTAAAACATCAGTTGTATCAAGAAACCTATATCAGCCCATCAATGCTATGAGTATCTATAATCGTGATGGATGGGTTAAAATGGTCCAGCAGCAGAGTATCAACGCCAAGTGGCCATTCGTTTTAAGGGGAGTCGAACGTCACGTGGATAAATGTCAGTGAGTGTTGACAATATGATAAAATCAGACATTTTCTTCAATTCAATAAACAGCATGACAAACCCATGTGTCTCCACACTCGTTAGGTTAACGCTTCGGGAACTTTGACCGCCCAATCAAAAAGGAAAGGATGCATGGCTCATATTTTCAGTAAGAGAAAGGAAACTACGGCTAAAAGAAATTCGTCTTTGTTTGAAAGAGCGACTAAAACGACGGTTTGAAAAATATGTACAATACTAAACGACATTTATATTCTTCTTCATTTGGAACTGCCTGTTTACGTTCGTGAACATCCCTGCTGATTGCTTGATTAGTTCACATAATGTGATAATTGTTTCCTGATTGGCGCGCGGCATGAAGGGATACACATGGACTGGTCGGCTCTGGGTCAATATAATGTGTGTGAGTGGGGTAACCATGTTAAACTGCAGCATGGTACGCCCCCCCCCCCCCCCCCCCCCCCCCCCCCCCCCCACACACACACACACACACAAAAACAAACAAACAAACACTCACAGAGACACGTGCATGCATAAGTCAAATAATCTTAAACACGACGTTAAAAAGCATTTCACCTCCCATGTACATGCCAACATGCATCTGCCAACGTGTGGCGTTAAACAACATACAAACAATAACACAATTCAAAGCGTGTGGTCAGTTCTTACATGTTTCTCGCTGTCTCTGCCTTGCAACATGTATGCGTACTGTCCTTCTCGCAGCACAACGGAAGTGCGGGGTCATTGCAGTAGTAAAGGTTGCCCTCGCGATGACCGAGAGACTCGGCTCGGAAACACAGACCATTGTTATCTGAAATTTAGCAATTATTGTAAGGTAATTTATAAATCATCCCCCAAAAATTGAATCAGACATATCATTAAAGTGAAATTATTACATAAACATATTTTAAATACCTAAACATAACAAATTCGTATTAGTGACATAAAATGCCGTTTTTGATATCACCAAGTACATTTCATGATAAACCAAACTCCATAATAATGTCTATAGTTCGATATCAATATATATCTAATTATATACTAAAAGCGAATTAAGATATCACTTTACTCGTGGAAACTTAATCATTTTTGGTCGGGGTTGTCTTTTTCAATTAATATTTACTACATAAATTGCAAGTGGTTCCGTGGCATTTAAATGACTAAACAAGCAATAGGTTTTGCCTTAATGTTCCATCAACCAAAAAACATTAGACGACGTCCACTTCCGGACTGTTGTTTCCTGATAGGCTGATGATAGGGTGGGCGGGGCTTGGGTTGTACTTTTGCTGTCCGTGTTTATCCCTTAATGCCGAGCGCCAGGCAGGGAACAAACAAGTACCATTGGTAGTCTTTTGGCATGGCGCGGCCAGGGATCGAACACCGACATTCCGTTCTCCGCACATATACCCAATGTACTTGACCACGGAGCGGTCCGAGAGGTAGACACAAAATTGTAGACAAAAACACGAAATTGGTAACATCTGATTTCGTAGTTTTGTCTTCAATATTTTGTGTTAATGATTTGAAACGCTGAGAAGTTATTTAACGTTGAATTACTTTTTTATAAGATTGACTTCTGTATGTTTTGTAATTATAGAAGCACATGGTAACAACGGGAGTGTACACTCTGCGTAAATTCCTCTGTGATGTGTTACACAGTGTGCAAAATCATTGAAAGCATTATATTGATTTAAAAAATATATTACAGTATTCTATACTAACAAATGTCAACTTGACCATTGTGCATAATTACAGATAATACAGATCACAATAAGTCCAAAGAGGTCTGAGTCCGAGGAATTGGATATGGAAGATAACTGACCCCATAGAAACAACTTCATCAAACTAAATCAAAGCGTAGTTGTTAGTAACTGGGCAGCTCTTGCGAATTAACGTTAACCACAAACAAATATCAAAACAGAAGATAACAAGCAAAAAAAGTAATATCACTAAAAATTATTCGATAAACAAATGAACAAATCCTGATCATCAACCAACAGGCATTGGTAACTACTTAAACACATATCCGGTGTCACATTACAAATAAACAGCATGTTGAGGAATATCCGACATTAATATCATCTCACGGATATCAACATGAAGTTGGTATTCGTTTTATTGTTACAAGGAGAGCGGAGATTAGCCTCAGCGTCAACAGTCCGGCACATGCTTGGTCTATCTTATTTCTATCTGTGTCCGGCCCGACATCCTTATCTCTGCCGTGTCAGGATTGGCTGGGCTTCGGTTCAAATACAAGATCCTGATAATGCCTTAGATCTGGAAGCACCTTGCACGCTCGTGGACTTCAAATACATGTAAGTGCTAAGAGTCTTCAATCAGAGTAAGTTCGTGTTTCTCGCACATAAACCTGAAACAACGTTTTATTGTTCAAATCAGTGCTAACCAAACCCTCATTTCTGGTTCTGGTTCTGGTTACATGGGGTTGTTTACTTTGATTGGAACTCTTAGATCACTGAACATTATGTAGGTCACTGTTTCAGGGGCACAGTCGTACTCAAACTAACATCTATTCAGTAAATAACATGACAAAGAAACACATGTAGGGGTAATGATTTCAAAGGGTACAAAGTGATCGATTAAAATATATTTTCGTGCATTGAATTACCCGTTGGGTAGTTTCAAAGAGATTATGGGTGAAATCGTCGATCAGCTCTGTAATAGATCTACATGTTGCCCAAAACGAAGTCCCATACGTCGACCGTTTTGAATATCGTAACAATACCGCGTACCATGTTAGGTCTTGTATTAGTAGAAGTATAAGACTAGTAGCAGAAGCATAGTGAGTGAGTGAGTGGGTTTGTCGCCGCTTTTAACAGTGTTCCAGTTATATCGCGGCGTGTCAGTTTAATGTGGGAGGAAAGCCCGAAGTGATGCAGGTCTCAGACGTTTACCACTTCGGTGAAACCCATGAGCACGGGTATGGTGCTGACAAACCTAGAAACACAATCGGGGTGAAACGGGTTTCGAACCCACAATCATAGGTTTCTGGCGTGCCAAAGGGACGCAACTCTGCACAGAGAATCGCGGCGCCTTAGACGACTGGGCCACCCGTGCCCCAGTAGAAGAATAAGTAGAAGTAGTAGTCACATTAATATCTACCCCAGCTGGGAACTGTAAATAGTCTGGACATAAAGAAACAAAAAACTTTCAATCGCATGCACACGACATTGCGTGCCAGTGCACGTCTTGATGAAAAAATGGATTTCATTCTGGTGTCGTTATTATTATTATACCACAAATCAAATATGTCAGGTGATTTGTGGTTTTTTTCAGAGATAACACCTTTTACGAGAAGTCTGCCCTCAACGTTAATGCACATCCTGCGACAAGGTATCGATCAACGCGTGCTCACTGGCATGGGGGATTTCGGAAACAGTGCGCCCGCTGAATCCCACGTGTTTGTTATCTCTGTGTCATGGAGGTATATTGACAGGAACGAATGCACTTTGCAACGATGTATGTTTTGTCAGATATTTCCATGGTTACATGAGCAATTCGACCTGACCCAACACCAATAATTCAATCATGTTATTTCCTGTATCGAAGGAGAAATAAGCCCTGTCCTCATTCATATTTCACTCTTCCTTTTTCGCGTTTAACGAATAACCAATCTCATTAAATTCAGATCTTTTACTCAATCTCATTAACATCAGATCCTTTTGTTCGGAAGAATGGGCTTTTATTGGGCATTCTGGCGTGACTAATGATGGGATGTTCTCAGATCTTTGTTAAGCGGTAGCGACAACTTAGATCTAATTTTAATGAGATTAAGTAAAACATCTGATTTTAATGAGATTGATATATTCCCATACGATAACTCTGTGCTTGGGGATCTGAGGACACCGTCGTTTCAAGTGAAGTCTATGTTCAGACACACGGCGTCTAAGGTTCAAGACAAGCATATCTGACTTCTTTATCTTGCTAACGAATATATTCGAGGATCTCCGAATGTGAAAAAAATAATGCCCAGATATAATGTGTTTTTTTTATATTTGATACACTCAGTCGTTTATGAGCGCCATGGAATCTACACTCAAAAGAGTTACTATGAGGGGTTTATTTGTGTTCTACGGCGGTTTCTTTGGCAGAGATCGAACTTTGCGAATCAAGGCGGTAACGAAACGAAGCCGAATGTTTTTTATGAAACCTGACATCTGATTGGCTTAAGAACTCACTCATCCTTCACTTTGATTGGGCGGTCAAAGTTCGCTCAGGTTCCTCTGACGAGACCTTCGATGGAGGTGTCCTCAGATCTGGACCAAACAGGTATCATATAACAGTAAAAAGATGACGAAGCCCTTCAAATACAGTCGTTTTATGTTTCACTAGAATGGGTTTGTTCCATTTGTTTCCATTCTGTTCTATTTCTATTGACGGAATTGGCATCTGCGTTGATGCTAAATGTTACATATTGTTTAGACGAGATAACGGGACGAATTTGAATATTGCGGGCCACAGCGACACTTACGATGGACTCAGAGGAATTGGAATCAAGTCGTTTTCAGTGATGAATCCCGATTTAATCTTCGATTTGCTGATGGTAGGGCGAGGGTGTGGAGGCGCCGTCATGAACGTTACGCCCAGTGTTGTGTACAGGAAGTTGATAGATTTCGAGGCGGAAGTGTCATGGTGCTGGGTGCTTTCTGTGGCAATGCACGTTCCAGGCTTCTTGTCATCCGTGGCAACCTCAACGCTGCTGCTTACCGCGACCAGGTACTGGCACAAGAACTTCTGCCTTTAATGGCAGCACATGGACCCGGTTTGATCTACCAACACGACAATGCCAGACCCCACACAGCAATTTTGACAAAGAATTTCCTTCAGAATGCGGGAGTCAACGTCATGGACTGGCCGTAAAGGTCTCCCGACCTCAATCCCATCGAACACGTCTGGGATGCTCTTGGCAGAAGTCTGCGCACTCTCCAGAACCAACCACAGAATTTGCAATATCTTGGCACCATTTTGCAGCAACAATGGCGTCGTCTTCCCAATCATGTGTTCACAAGCACCATAAGGTCCATGCGGAGGCGTAATGTGGCAGTTGTCAACGCACATGGTGGCCATACACGCTACTGAACTTGTGTGCCATCAGATTCTCGTGCTTGGGACTTATGATTTAAACTGTTGATGTTATTACCGAATACCGTAGGTGCTTGGAACAAATAATGGCTACCACCGTTCATTAAAATCCTTCTTTGGACATTAATGATTAAAAATTACCTTCTCTGATACATTTGTCCGTTGTATATCATACATGGGATTACTTTTAAAAATGTGAAGTTTTTAATTTGACTCAGTATATTTCTGGATTAACTTTGCATTTCAATGTGGAAATCACATCGCAACAATTTTAAATGTCTTACTTACTAAGAGGAAACATCCTAATTTTCAGGTACTCGAAAAAAAAACAGAATATAACATCTGTACCCCACATACGGATAAAAATCGGGATAATAAATAATCAATTTGTTGACGCACCTGACACATACATACAAAACAACATTATATTGTGAGTTTTAAATTACAAAGCGTTTATTGCTATTTTGCTTGCCCGACACGTGACAGGTTTAATGTTACATGAATCGTATTGACTTTCTGCCTGTCGAACAAGATCTTTGGCCTGATAAAGGGAGACAACCTATTCAAATACTTGTCATGAAATGACAACACAGGAGATATTCATCTTTTGAATTAATGGATGGAGAAAGAGGATTGAATTTCATGAGAACTATTGACATTTGTTATTTGCTGCGTTTCCGATGTTATACAATTTTTTGTTTGCTCTGTGAG